AACTAGGAAAACAGTTCTAACAATGCTTCTCAGAGTTAATTTAGGTTTTAGTTTCAGTTTTAGACCTGGATTTTTGCAGCACTGGTGCCTGTGCAGCTCGGAGTGAGGGGTTGGAAAGATCTTTCGCCTCCCCTCCCCCTAGATCGGCTTATGAGTGGAGAAGTAGTATCTAAGTGATAGCACTTTATCATCTGCAAACAAAACGCCAGACGGTGAAGAGATGCTTTTCATTCGATCCGGTTGGCGCTTAAGCATACTTTGCTGATAGTGTTGCTTTCAAAAGAAAGGTGATATTTCCAGCTGATTGACGCTTTGTTCAGCTGATATTTGAGGTAAGTTTAGGATATCAACTTAGCTAAAACCATGTACTGAGTGTTTTCCTGATTTCCCGCCTTTTCCTCTGAATTCTTGAAAGCAAAACTTCTTTGTGCCTCTGGTAAAGCTTCGAAGCATTACAAGCGAATCAATTTACCTCTTTTAACGATTGTAGATGAGGATTGCTTGGGTGAGTAACATGTATTTATTCATATGTGTAAATTTGAATTTGCAGATTGCTGTAAATGGTACTGACGAAAAAAGTGAAGAACCCTTGGATGTTGCTTCGAATTTGGTATGCACTGTGGCATTTGCTGATTCCCCTCATTAATTTTACGGTTTCACTTGTGCGGCCGTTGATGACCGTGCAAAAATGTAGTACAGACGTGGCGATGTATAGCTCAAGACCAAAGGATCTGGTACAGCTGCGGCCTATGGGTGCATCTCGGTAACATAGTTTCTCAAAGCCGATTTTTGGCGTGGCATTGATATGCCAGTGATACAGAAGAGCAGGATTGAAGGAGCTGGCGGGTGGTAATTCCCGAACGCGTTTTCCCTTTCATTTTCGGCGATCGCTTGCATAAAAAAAAATGTTTCCCTTGTGTATACTCACATTTCTTTCCTTTTCGTGTTCGGTGATTTTTCGTGAGAATGATTCGAAACTTGCAGTTTTACATATAATGGCTTGGAATACGAAGAATGGTCATAGGCGAATCTAGACGGGGGGAGGGAGGGAGGGGCGATGGGCCTTTTGTCTTACCCCCAGTGACACGGGTACAAGTGCTGCAGAAGTCAGGATCTAAAGCTAAAACTGAAGAAAACTCTCTTCCACACCCCGTCCTCCCTGTTCTCTGGAGCCTTATTCCCCCTTTCCATCTCCCCGGTTCTTGCCGCACTAGCAGCGCTGCTCCCCCTCCCTCGTTCATCGTTCCACCGATAGTTTCTCTTCCCCCCGCCCTCCTCAGGAGGCCGTCCTGGGTCTGCCTATGGCAGGGGCAACAAGTCAGCGCGCAAAATATGTTCTTTATTTTTTATGAAAAGGGAACCAGACTTCGTGCCAACGTATAACTTGTTGAAAATTGTTTGTTAAGGTGGAAACAATACTGGACGTTTCCCTTTTGAAAGTTCTGAATAAAAAAAGCTGACTCTTTTATGGCTCAGTTAATTGTTGCTGTTTTTTGCGTCTGATGGGCTTCTTGGCCATTTTTAATAGACTGCAATTAAATAAAAAGTCTAGTTGCTTTAAACACGCAGCTGTGTCAGCTGTATTGCGCATGGTAGAATTTCTTGCAGGATGAGGAGTTCGTTGAAGGTCAGACCAATTCAAGTAACTCATTTGAGGTGCCGTTGTTTGATCCTGAACGTGATATCAGCAAATGGAATGTTACCATCCCGCTGATCGAACCGCGTCGCGATCCTGTCAGCGGTACCCATTACTTTTGACTCTTATTGTATCAAGAAAAAGTCTTGTTTTATTGAATAACAAACGTGAGGATTTCATGAAATTTCTTTTTTTTTTGTTCTCGGTACAATACTGTTCTAGGACACACAATGTACGTGTATATAATATCAGTTGAGCGATTCGATGTGAAAGAAAACAATGGACAGCAGCGTTGCGGCAGCACCACACAGACCAAAGTAAAAATTCAACTTTCACGACGTCGGAAATCCAGGCCCTCTCAACATTTTACATTCTTTGAGAGGCGAAAGTCCTCGAAAATACCCCAAGTAGTGACATATAGCAAATATCTCTCCCCACCCTCACCCCCTTGCTCTGGCTGTCTTAAAACTAGTTTGTTTAAGAGTGAAACGAATTGTTAAGGGATCAAGATTTTTCTTTGTCGTTTTGAATCGACTTTTTGGGCTTAAGAGTTTGAGCTACATATCCCTACACCAACCTTTCCTGTCAATGTACATTAAATGTTTTTCATTTTGCGGCTCGTTGTTGTTTTGAGAAATTTGCCAACACTTTGCTTCAGAAGAGAAGCAAAATGGTAAATGATAATTGTTTGTTGTGAAAATTAAAATTTATTCTTTTTCTACGAATAATTTGTTTCAGTGGACGGTAGCTCGCCGCTACAACGAATTTTATGTTCTGGAATCGAAATTGCTGTTA